TTATGCAGTTTTGATCAGGCCCTTGGTAGGGGAGGTGCAGACTTCTGAGAGTTTGATTCCATTACTTGCATAGATTTTGAAAGCGTCATATGAACAGAGTTGCAAGAAAAATGAAATCCCAGCAGGGCTGTGAATGGAAACCTAAGTGGATGGCAATTCCTGGCTCTGCTGTGGGTTCTAGGAAGTGGGTGCCTGGACAGGATGGGTTTCAGGCCATATCCACTATGGCAGGGGCTTTCAACCCTTTTTAACTAGCGTATCCCTTCTGGTGGCAGTGGCCGGACATTGATGTGGGGCAATGGCCCGGTCAATTGTGCATTGCCCACCACCAGCCCATGGAGCCGCACATGCAACCAGCTGTGGAAAAGTGGTGTGCAGCAGCAGCATGGGGTGGTGGGTGGCTTCTGTATGCTAGCCCCCTCCCCACATCCCTTGTGGCCAACCAGGCAGCACCTGTGCAGCCTGCAGAGAGGCGCCACTGCTCTCATTCCCCCCAGTCTTGCTCCTGGGAGGCAGCGGCACAGGGTGGTGGGTGGAGGCAGCAGCTGCCGTGTGTGAGCTGCCCTGCCCCACATCCACTACAGAAGGGTACCTCCTTGCTGCCAGCTATTGCCGATGGCAGTGGCTAATCAGGAGAGTGAGCTGGGGTGGGAGGTGCCCTGGTGTGCTGCGTGGGGCCAGCAGCTCCTGGCGTGCCCCCCCCTCCCCCTCCCCTGGGTAAGAGGCAACATGTGGGAATGTGCCATGGGAGATGCTGCCGCTATGCCTTCAGGCCCGCTCTGTCCCCACCCACCTGCCTGTATCCCCCACAACATAAGTACCCCAGGGTACACATACCTGAGGTTGACAACCCCTGCATTATAGCATTTCTTTCACTATTGAGGGTAAAGCATAAGCTGCTTTCAGCAGGCACAAGAAAGTATTTTATAAGCAATTGTGGAGACTTGTTTATAAGGGAAAAGGGTTTGACCCATAGTTCCACAGACAGTTCTGTGAAGCCAGTTTTTTGGGTAAGCCCTACCATCCAGGGGTTGGCCAGTCCTTTAATCCTTGTAACTAGAGTTGTGTGCCGTGTGGACAACTCTTTGGCTCTCACAGCTGGGTTTTTCCAAACATAATTTCCAAAACCCTCACAGCAGAATCCGCACCTTTATCTCTGGCAATAAACATCCAACTTGGCACCCACAGAAGGTGGCTTTCCATAAGACAAACCCACACCAAAATAAACAGGCCCATTGCTATTCCAAGGCCATCACTAAGCCCACCGGCTCCTGCAGCTGTCTTCCCTTTGAAATGTACAGCACAGCTAGTGACACTTATCATTCTGAGATGCTCTGTCTCTTTTGACAGGCGATGAGTGAACTGTCAGATAGGCCAGCACCTTTACCCATTGCCTTTGGAATGGAGAAGTACTTTGGTTTGCCAATGAGAAAATAGGGGCTCACATCGCTCTTACAGGAATGGTAAATCATGGTATAATGCATTTGGGAAGTGAATACTGAATTTTCTACCTAGAAGTCTCCCCTTTCTCTTTCCCCTTTCCTCTTTTCACCTTTCTTCCCTTGCCTTTTTAAATCCCAGCTCTTGTCTCCCATCTGCCCATTTTCCCTTTTTCCTAGTGCTTGTAATACCATCTTCGGTTGTACTTGCTGGTTTGGAAAACACAATTACCACTTGTGATTTAGAGGCTCTCTTGTGGCTGGCGGGGTCCAGCAGCTCAGTGCTGCTCAAAGGTCAATGACCCAGGATTTATGGTTAATGCTCTCAGATAAAAGTGCAGATTTACTTAAGGAGTCTACTGAAATGCCCTAGGAGATTGGGAAGAGAAATCTATACAGGCCAAAGAACTTCCCCTTTATTACAGCCAGTTCCAGATTTTCTCTGTTCTTCCTATCAGTGCCTTGTGTTGTCTAAGTACAGATGTGAAAGGGGGAGGATGGAGAATGGGGGGAGGACAGTTGGGTGACTGAAAGTCTCTGCATTTTTGCAGGTGAAGCACTCTCAGTAGTTTCCCTAAGCTTATCCAAGGATTATTATTTTCCTGTCACAGGATTCTTCCAGTATTCATAGCAGCAACTTTTTGTCTAGTAAGCTTCAGTTTTGTTAGTCCAGGGTATTTATGTACCTTCTGCATATGCGCGCGCGCACACGCGCGCACACACACACACACACGCGCGCATTTAGACATTGACAAACTTGTGGTCAGGTATCCTGATGTGTACATCATTGTGTACAGATGCTTCCAGGTATGCAGACTGATGCTTAGGTAAACATGCATATGTAGGTACACCCCTTTGTATTCACAGGCGCATGTTGACACCTACACCTGTTGACACCATCAGGGACACAATTTGTTTATATATGAATGCACACTCTGTGGCACTCATGTACACACCCTCAGTCATGAATGTACCCAGGCAAGATTTCATACAGCTCATGAAAAAAAACTTCATAGTTGTAAAGAAAAACTGAAGCAGCAAGGTTGGGTGAATGAAAAAGGGAAATTTGAATGGCTCCAACCTTTGGCCTTCAGCTGATGAATGGCAACATCAGTGTGCTGGTGCCAAGGCTAACATGCTGTCAGGTTTCCTCATTAGACATGCAAATACCAATGCTGACATTTTCAGGGCAAAATAAAATGCCATTTCACCCCCTCACTTTCAATAAACCAATGAAAACAGAACAGCTTTAAGTCATAAACATGTTCACACTACATTAATTGTTATTTTGCATGTGAGGAGAGAGAGAGGGAATGCATGCACATATGAGCTAAATGACATCCTTGGGAGTCAAGCCAGCGTGAGAGGAGCCCAAGCTATTGAACTGACAGAAGCAAATAACATTTTTATCTTGAAAACTAAGCTAATCTCTGGTCAGTTCTTGGCCCTTCCCAGTTTGTTTTACATGAGATTCTTGGGCTTGTTGATATTTTTGGCTTCTGACGGGGCTGCAAGTCACACAACTTTCCTGAAGGAGCTAGTGTAAAAGGCCGTCTGCTGACTGCTCTGACAGTTACAGGGGCAACCAACCGTAGGCTGACCCCTTTCCAAGCTGCGTTCTGACCCCTTGTTCTGTCTATAGTTTTCGATTAAAAACGTAACAAATCTTTGCAGTTCTCCCAGTCAATCACATAGCTGGCCAGCCCTGACCAGCAGGAGTATCTCTTATCGCCAAGAGTGCCTCATTCAGAGAACAGGGAAGGGAAAAACCAAATCAAGACTGAAAATCAAATGGATAGGTAGAATCTGTGTGTTGACCATTGTGGAGATGTAGGGTGAAAAAAAACCTATTGCCTTGAGGGATACGATGCCTGAAGCCACAACCTGAGGAAATTATTGCTTAATGGAAGTCCCTTCTCTAAAATTAAGGAGTATATAATTTTCCTTGTAAACTAAAAACTCCTAGCTATAATACTCTTTTTGCTTTAGCTGTACTGTAGCTCTCTTTACCCTCTGCTGAAATTTCTGTTTTAGCTCCCAAGGTTTAGTGACCCCCAAATTCAAGCACTAATAGCAACAATCACCTTGCTGACCAAGCTTCAAATTCATCTGCTATTGGTAGGTGACAAGAGACAGTGAAAATTAGTTCGGTGGTGTCATGATTTGCCCACCTTTGCAAAACTAGCACATTCATCTCAATCCACTCAGGAGACCTTGTAGATTAGAGGTTACATTTGGCTTAGTTCTCTCCTGGGACTTAAGGGTCAAAACTCAAGTGTGTTATCAGAGCTTTGTGGGAGCACAGGCTTTGAATAGCAACAGGAAGGGGTGGATCTAGAGGGGTGTGATGGGCCATGCAAAATTTCACTGGGTGTTTTGATTCGACACTGTTTCGACTCATTTTGAGTTCAAAACAGTGAAATTGAATGGAAATGAAGGGCTTCGAAACAGCCTTGAAACAAAATGAGGCTAGTCGAAACATTTCAAAAGTGTCCCTCCCCAGCACTAGACCAGGCTGGGAAAAGGAACTCCCCCCCGCTGGGCTGAGTTCCTTTCCCCAGCCCGATCAGAGCAGTGGGGAGGGGAACTGGGCGATCAGGCTCAGTTCCCTTCCCCAGCTCCCTGGTCCCAGGCAGCACCGGCTTCCCTCCCTCATCCGGCAGGCAGATTGGGGGTCCACAGCCCCAGGAGGACTGGCACAGCCCCCGCAGCCCTCCCGAGGTTGTGGGCCCCTTTTCTACCTCCTGGATGAGAGAGGCTTTTTTGAGCCTCCCCATTATAGCGTATGGGCAAAACATCGAAACAGCGTCACTATTTCGACAAAACGAAACGGAACAGCGGTTTCGAATCAAAATGAAATTCAAAATGAAACTCTGTTCCCTTGGAGCCTCAAAACTCAATTTGAATCGGAACGGTGCTGTTTTGCAGAGCCCTAGGTCACATCCCCCTTTGGCTGTGTGCTGTCTCCTGCTGGGAGCTCTTTGCATGCCATGAGCTCTGTGAGCTCACTGGCTTGTTGGCACAGTGTCTTCCCAAAGTACCTGCATGCATGCAACTGCAGAGCGCAGAGAGTATGTGGTCACCCTACTCCTCTCTTCTCTTCTTTCCCCTTGGTGAATTCAGCAGTGGGAAAAGAAGGGATGAGAGACTGGCAGTAGAACATCCCCATCACTGTAATCCTGGATTCGCCCATGACAACAGGTGTTGCAGGTCAGAAATAAGGTGCTTTGGCATAGCTGTATCTGGAGGCTTGCATAGGCCTTTCCTGCAGTGTCTTGTGCTGCCCATGTATAGCACCTGACCTTCAGCAAGACTCTAACAATTAAAAAAATACATTAGCAGTGAATTTCAGCTGTTAATCTTAGCGTGTAGTGCATCCTTGGAGATGCAGAAGTGCTCTTATTCCCATACTCTGAGAGCAGGTGAGATAAATCTTATGAACTGTAGAAATGAAGTTTGAGCAGAGTTTGTAAACATCCTGCAGCGTGATAAAGGACATGGATATGATGTAGGAGAAATTTTACAGTGCTTGAGACATTTAATCCTGCTTTCCCTCCATAGGGTACAACTGTGCGCATGATAACGGCAATTGACCAAGACAAAGGACGGCCCAGAGGTATTGGATACACCATTGTCTCAGGTAAGTCATGGAAATAACGTAAGTTCACAAAGCAGATGAGGGACGAACTGGCCTTGCAATGGATATTTATTTATGTACTGCCCATACTAGGGAAATGATATTTTACAAACTACCTTCTTAACTGTGCTGTCTCTAATTAGTTCTTTCATTTCAGTAATTGCTGATTTCTCATAGCAAGCTGGTATAACCGAAAGCTTTCATCTTTCTAAAGAGCCTCTGTTACCTTCAGTGATGTCCCAATCCGTTGTTAGTGACATTTCCATTCCCTTGAGTGGAAACAGTTACTGTATGCAGAATTTGCCAATGTTTTGTATTGAAGCCTTTCAGCTTTAATAGTGTACATGCTGTGCAAAAGATGTGTGCATTCTTCCACAGTGGCAGTGCACAGCTCAGGTAACACTGCTTTGTTTGGATGTGTTGCTGACTAATATCATATGCCTTTCACCTTTCTGAATTCATTCTACTAGCTTAAGGCTGAATGTAGTTTGCCTGATACCTACTAACAGTCCTGCAAGGGGATTAGGAGAGCCGTAAAGCATTTTAGCATTACAGTGGTGCTTTTAGAGAGAGACTATGCGTACATCTACGTTGGCTCCACATCACTTGAAACTGCTGCCAAAAAGTAAGTTCCACCCACCTACTTTACACTCTCCAGACCTGGAAATGCAGCAGTAGGGTTGATCCTTGGCACCTCTCCCTTCCCTCTGCCTCCTATGGCTAGTCATAAAACAATGTTATTAGTTCAGATGTTTATTATTTCTTTAACTGTGTCTGTAATAACATTAATCACCCACTGATTCACTCCCATGTTTTTTCAGGACTTCAGTGTTCCTTAGCAATCCCCCTTCCAAGTATTGACATGGTCAGACTCTGCTTAGCTTGGAGATCTAGCAGATCTGAAAAGGCTGGAAAAGCCAAAGCATTTTTTAAAATTAATATGAAACTGGAAAGGAGTTAAGTGAAAAGCGGAGTCCTGGCCTTCACTTTTCACCACCCACACCCTTTAATTCTGCTTGTACACAACACCTCTGGAAGGACGGAATGATTCATTGCACAATACATATTTCTGAGACTGCTGTCATCTTCAGTACGTCTTCTCTTTGGTCATAAGGCATTCTCCATGCTCCAGAAAGTGACTTCTTTTGTAAGAACCTTCTCTAGTTCCCGCCCAGAAAGCTCACCTACATAGGTGCCATGCAGATAGTTCTAAGGAAATATGTATTGCCAGAGGCATATCGAACAAGCTTGCACTCTGAGCAAACCTCTGATAGTGAGGTGAGAAGAATGTGGGCTGTCAGTTTTGTCTGTCTATCCACCCCTGGCTGTGGCTGCTGCTGCAGCAGCTGCTAGTGGTATGGTATTCCTGCACCTGCCTGCTTCCTGCTATGGCAAGATTCCCTGGACTCACCTTTCCACTGCCGCCTCTAAGCTGCTACCTTGGGCTGGTATTCCCCTAATTACACTGCTGGTTATTGCCATGTACTTCTCTCCAGCTGGCCCCAGTGTTTTCTGTAGTCTTCTAGTTTCAGGGGCCACTTTTCATCTTCTTTCTCCCTTGCTTCCTGGGACACTTTTGTGGTGAGTAAAGTGTCACAGAAATTGGCATCACACCAGAGAAGCTGGAAAGCTGGACAAAAACTTCCTGACAAAACAACATTCCATTGGAAAATACCAGTTCTTTTGTTCAAAATAAGTCTGGTTTGATGAATTTTCATCAAGTCCAAGGCAGGGTTCCACGGGAGCCTTGAGTTCCTGACAGACTGCCCCAGGGCTGGGACATAGGTTTCTAGATGTTTGCAATAGAGCCAGGTGTTCTGGACGTACATGACCTCCATTCTGGAGCAGTCCTCTGGCAGATCTATTCCAGAGAAGCTGGGGCAATCAGCTTGGTGGGTATATCCTGGAGGCATGGTTCTGGGGCAGACCTATCAGGCAAACTGTCCCAAGTTCAGGGACCTTGCAGTTCTCAAATCTGTGGCTCCGAGGCTGATCAGGAAACCAGAGCTTCCAGCCTCTTTGCTTTGGAGCTAGGGGCTCAGAATTATAGAAAGTTTGAAAGCCCTTGAGCCCTGGCTCCAACTGGAGCACAGCTTCTAGCTCTGCAGCAGTGAGCCTGGAAGAAGTTTCCTGTCTTGTTGCAGAGCTCAGCCTGGGAGCCTGGAAGTTCTCAGGCAGACTTGGGCATAGTCTGTGGAGTGAGGTAGCCAAGCTGCTGGATCTCAGGAGCCCATCAGCTGCTCATTAAAATGGAAGTGCTCATCAGTTTCGCTGCTGATCAAAGCAGTTGTGGAACTGACAAGCCTGTGGATTTCATGGGGCAGCTGTAGGATGTGGGGAGCTATTTCTTTTCAGAAGCACATTGTTATGGTATTTTTATTGCAGTGTTCTCACAATTTGCGGTTCTCTGGAATTGCCAAAAGTTTTGGTTTCAGTTCAGTTAATTTTAAAACGTTAATGCAAGCTGGAAAAACCCTGATGGGCTAGCCATGTGGTATGCAGGGATAGGTTATCTCAGTTTTTCATGATATGCACCATTTGAGTAGTTTGTGGGAAGTTGTAAAAATCCTTGTCCTCCCTAAAATGACTGTTGTTTACTGCATTTGCTAACAGTTCCTAGCCTAATCCTCACACTGGATTCTAGACTTATTTTCCCAGTTTCTGTCTCAAAGTATCATTTCAAATACTCTTTAATTTTTGTCTGCACCTTAATGAGCATAAAGGACAAGGTGATCTGAGTCTGGCTTTCATGTCATTTGACCCTGGCTAGAAGTATTAATTTGCATCCAGATCAATCTGTCTTTAAAGATACCGGGATTAGGCATTTTTATAATTCCCTTTTAACTTTATTCTAATATGTATTCAGTCTGAATTAACTGACACAGTCACCTGATCACTCTCACACATGTACTAATCAGGAAAAATGTTGGTGATGTCTTTTTAGTGATATAGATATTTGATCCCTAAAAACTGAACAGGGACCAAGAATTACCTTTGCAGAGGTCACCAGCCAACCTCCAGTTAGCAGACTTTCAACAAGCTGCTTATTTGCACTGCATTAGAACCTAAGTATGACCTAACCATGAAAGCTACGTTATCCTGTTGCTCCTCTCCTGAGAACCATGCTGTAGGCTAGACTTGTATAATGCCATTTTCTAAGTGCTTTTCAATATATAGCTATTAGATTTAATGCTCTCCACTGGTGTGGCTGTTGAGTTATGTCTTGGAATAAACATGTATTTGGGTTTCCCTCCTCTTGTTCCTAAATGGCTGCTTTTCTTTCCATTCCTTTCATGATTTTCTCTGTGGCCAGGCTGCATTCTGGACATCTCAGGATTTTTGCCTTTTTGGTTTTGCTGTCACTAAGCTTTTGGAGGAAATTTAACATTAGCGTTAGCAATCTAGGGAGCACGAGTATAGATGACACCAGTACTCATGTTTTACCTGCTTGGTCAGTTAGCTGTTCTCCAAGGAAAATTAGGCAAATGCGGTGGTAAACACATTAACACTTCCCTTTATAATAGAGGCTTCCAGTACAATAATGGGGTAGTACGTTTCCACCGAAGTCCAGTGCAGATGCAGCACTTACACAGTAGCTCACATTCCTACTGCTTGTGACTGCCTGCTATATTTGCCTTGTCATATGGAAATTCTGATCATACATTCTCTCCTTCCCATGCAGGATGCAATGTGCTTCTAAAATCAACTTTCCTGAAACCATGTCAGTAACTAACATTTGAATGCTTTAGGCCTGAGTGAAGCTTTTAACACGAACAGGGCATTTCTGGTTCCTCACTTCCTTGAGGTATATTCTATAATTACTGTCGTCAGAAAGGAAGTCAGGATGCAGACACTTGACAACGATTTAGTTATGAGCCCCACTTGACATGTTCCCTTTGCTGCGGGGGACTCCTAGACTTCTGCAAGTTCTTTGGTGTGGCCTGGTTCTGTCACAGCACCAGTCTTTTTTTTTGAATTTTGATGGACTTTTTGTGACAGAAGTATTTTTAATAGCTCTTATATTTTTCCTCAACTTGGTGACTGTTTTAAATGAACACCATCCTTGGGCAGTTGTAGGGGTGGTTCCAGGAGAGGGGCAATACTGCAGACACAACCCCCTTCTGCTGCCACTGTCCCTGATTGACCATGGTGCAGGGAGAGCCCCATACCTGCTCCTGCCTCACTCCAGCTATGGACTCTGACTGCACAGGGTGCCAGCTTCAGCAGAGGACAGTGGTGAAGGGCAGGGTTCATCTTTCTGCACCTGCTGCTCCCCCACTGGTGAGGAGCAAGTGCCGGAAGGAAGAATATCCCCTCTACTGCTGCAGTTCTTTCCAGCTGACACAGGCATGAGGGAGCCCCACAACTTCTCCTGCTGCACTCCAGCCATGAGCTGCTGGGAGTAGCTGTGTAAAGAGCCAGGCTTGGCCTTGGGACAGCAGCATGGGTGTGTAGGTCCCTCCTTCCATTGCCTCCTTCCTCCCAGCCAGCAAGGGCACTACAGAGGAGGGAAGGACCAGGCACAGAGCAAGTACTGGCAGAAGGAACATGTACCTGTTGCTGCTGTTCCTGGCTTAGGCTGGCTCCCTGCAGTGTGTGGCTGGAGCAGGGCTTCATAGATTTCGTAGACATTAGGGCTGGAAGGGACCTCAGAAGATCATCGAGTCCAGCCCCCCGCCCAAAGGGCAGGAATTCAGCTGGGGTCATAGGATCCCAGCAAGATAAGCATCCAATTTACTCTTGAAGGTGTTCAGTGTAGGTGCTTGAGCCCCCTCTGATGGCAGGCTGTTCCAGACTTTGGGGGCTCAGACAGTAAAGAAATTCTTCCTTATGTCCAGCCTGAAATGGTCTTGCAGTAGTTTATGACCATTTGACCTCATTATCCCTTGGGGCACTCTGGTGAACAAATGCTCTCCCAGATCCTGGTGGTCACCCCGATAAACTTATAGGTGGCTATCAGATCACCTCTGAGCCTGCGTTTTTCCAGGCTAAAGAGCCCCATG